GGCACAGGGGTCAGGGGACACCCGCGGCAGACGGTGACACTTCGGGACCCCGGGGACCCACGGGGGGGTGGCACCAGGGGACACCCGCGGCAGACGGGTGACACTTGGGGACACAGGGCACCCACGGGGGGTGGCACCAGGGGACACCCACGGCAGATGGGTGGCGCTAGGGGACACCCAAGCCACCCCCCCGTGACACACTGGGGGACACCAACCCCCTCGGTGACACCCTGGGGACCGCCCCGTCACTGTGACCGCCCCACGCAGATGGTGCCAGTGCCATTTATTGGGGGGTGGGGACACCCGGGGGTGTCACTTGTCCCCTCCAACACCGAGGTCACAGCAATGGCACCAGGACGGTGGCAGGTACAGACATGTGTCACCAGCCGTCACGGTGATGCTGCCAGGGCAGGGACACGGGGACGGCCACGTGTCCCCGCTGTCACCCATGCGGCCGCAGCACTGGCATCAGGATGCGGCCATGTGTCCCTTCTGTCATGGATGTGGTGACGAGATGCAGCCATATGTCCCCTCTGCCACCAACACGTTCACAGTGATGGCATCAGGATGAAGCCACGTGTCCCCTCTGTCACCAACACGTTCACGGCGACGGCGTCAGGACGAAGCCACGTGTCCCCTCTGTCACCAACGTGGTCACTGCGGCAGCGTCATGATGTGGCCGTGGTGACAGCACGTGGCCGTACGTCCCCTCCGTCATCAAGACAGACGTGGTTGTGGCATCAGGATGAATCCACGGTGACAGGACGTGGCTGTCATGTCCCCTCTGTCACCAGCACGTTCACGGCGACGGCGTCAGGACGAAGCCACGTGTCCCCTCTGTCACCAACGTTGGCAATGGCATGACAACAAAGCCACGTGTCCCCTCTGTCACTACCATGGTCACAGCAATGGCACAAAGATGAAGCCACGTGTCCCCTTTGTCACCAATACGGCCACAGCAATGGCGTCGGGACATGCCCATGGTGACAGGATGAGGCCATGTGTCCCCTCTGTCACCAACACAGCCACGGTGTCACGACGAAGCCACGTTGAGCGGCCACGTGTCCCCTCTGTCACCAACATGGCCACGGCGCTGGTGTCACGACGCTGCCACAGGTCCCCTGTGTCACCGTGTGGAGGGGCAGTGGCCGGGTGTCCCCGTGTCCCCTCAGTCCCGTGTCCCCTTCCCCTCTCGCAGCCGTTGCTTCAGCTCCGCCATTGCCCGTCGCTAGGGGTGGGGGACACGGGGGGGGTATCAGGGGATGGTGGGGACACACATGGGGTGGCCCCAGGGATGGACCATACCCTGTGGAGGGGGGGGGACAGGGGCATCACCAGTGTCCCCGGGTGTGGAGGTGTCCCCTGTGTCATCCCCCCCCAGTGTGGGGCAGTGGTGACACCTTGGGGACATCAGGGACGTTGGGGATGTCAGGGATGGCGGGGACATCAGGGACAGGGGGGGATATTGGGAACACTGCGGGGGACATTGGGGATGCTGGGGACACCGGGGGGACGCTGGGGACATTGAGAACACTGTGAGGACATTGAGGGGGTTGTCCCCAATGTCCCCCGCTCCATGTCCCCAGTATCTCCCCTGTCCCCGATGTCCCC